CCCGCCAAAGTCTCATGTAGACATAAGAGGGGCTTTTCACAGGTGGCTCAATCTAGAGTTATGGTGCTGGGATCAAGGGTGTGTGATTACTAACTCATTCCACTGATTGGTTTGGCATAGTTCTGGCTAGGATTAAGGGTGTGAGTGCCCTAGGGCAGGTAGCTTGCATAAAATATAAGGAACAGAAAGAGGGTTAATGTGCTCATTGCCTGCCTGCTTGCCATAGACTATTTCTCCTCTGTGATGCCCCTCTGCCTTGGAGCCAGCTGACTATGGAATGAAACCTCTACAAACTATGAGCCAAATAAACTTTTCCTCCTTTAACTATGAGTCTTGGGTATTTTGTCTCATCAATGAGAAAAGTAACTAAGACAATCTCCTAAAGATTAACTATATCATAGTTTGCAAAAACTTGCTTTTAACATTACTTTCTCCAGCAGGATAATTCTTTAATGTTTTGGTCATAAAAACATAATATATTTAAAATGAGCATTATCTGCAAAGTAATCTCATTCTGAAGAGTTTCTACTTTCATTTGTTGATGGATTTAGAAATTTGGTTTTGGAAAATAAGAACATGGATTTATCTTTATATTCTGTGGCTTCCACCTAAATATCACGCAGATGTAGAAAGTCCCATCTATCAATAACAAAAATCCTGGGCAAACATTCCCAGGAATTCTAATTGTCCCCAAGTACAACATATGATGCACACATCTTGTGCCATAATTGGTAGGTAAGGAATATGTTATAATATGTTATACAATATGACTGGTAAAGCAAAATGTTCACTTTTAAAAATCTGAACTTTGAGATATTAGAAACAGACTAGGAGAGACTTTGAAATGTTCCTTTTGGCACAAGATCTGTTTAGGCAGAATTCTCTTGGTTGCTGGTTTTAGAAACTCAATTTGAACTGCTTTAAACAAAACAAATTTACTAGCTTGTGTGACTGGAAAATGTCACAAAGAAGCAGACCTCAGACCCCACAGTATTAATGGATTTAAGTGGTGTTATTAAAACTCTTTCATTTCTCACTTTTCCTTTCTACAGGGGCAGATGAAAAACTGACCAAGGCACAAGTCACCCTGAAAGCTTTTCTTTTCTAAAGATTTGTCATTCAAGGATTTGGGAGAAATTTATTAAGAGCATTGGCAATGAAATAAGATGTCTGAACTATGAAGGCAAATAGGTCTTTAGAAGACAACAATGCGTCTCTATGTGGGAATATAAATTGGTCTTTCTGATGGGATTTACTGAAGTTAAATATATGTATGTCTATTCAATAGCGACTTCAGTCCTAGATATACTCCCATAAGAGCTGACTGCTTGTGTTTACAAAAAGATAAACATAAGAATGGTCACAGGGGCATTATTAGTCCTCAAATGGAAGCAACCCAATCATCCATCAACAATAAAATGGATCAATTATGGTTTTTCCATGCAAAAGAATGTTGGAAAAGGCCAGTGCTACACACAGCAATGTGAATGAATCTCGTAAACACAACTTCAATTAAAAGCAACCAGATATAAAAAAGAACATGTTGCATGATTTCATTTGTGTAAAATTCAAAAAAAAGCAAAACAATTGTAATGTGGTCAGAATATTGGTAACCTTTAGGAGTTACTGAGTGGTGGAGGTGTGAATTATCTGTTGAAGTGCTTCATTATTTTCAATAATGAAGGGAGTGGCAATTTTATGGGTATGGACCCACGTAAAACTCTGTGCTTTCCATTAGACATACTCCCGTTACTGAATATAAAATATACTTCACTAAAAAGCTTCAAAAAGAAAGGTCTGCAGCAATAAAAATAACACAAAACAAAACAAAAGCTCCAATACTTGCTATGAAATTGTCTGTCTTATGGCCAAACATATGGTACCCATAAGAGTACCTTGTGACCACAAGATTTTTAAAACTTACTAAGAGGTAATATTTAATACATCTTATATTTAAAATATGTGGCTTTATATGCCTAATAAATGTTTGAAAGTTTGTATGTTTTACCTGTTAGTACATTATTTTCACTTTACAATCAGTTTTAAAAGTCTAATAACTAATTTGAAACTCTATTTCTACCACAAGTTTTTTCTTCTTTTTATTTTCTTATGTGTTTATTTATTTATTGTCCTTAAAAATATTAATAAGAATCCTATGAAGATTAGACTTAAAATAGGACTTCCTCTAAAGAGGATTTGCATGGAACTACTAGTTCTAGGGGCCTGGGAGCATTATCAATACACACAGCACCAGCTTCAACCAAACAAAGACATGTGAGGTTACACATGTGCATTAGAACAATCTATGGCTTCAATTTCCCTGGAAAGCTTGCTTCTTTTCCCCTTTCCATCAACTCAAAGCAACATTATATGAAGATACCTAACAGAAATAGAAATTCAGGTATGATTGAGGCTAAGAGTGAAGCAAGTTTAATTATAGACTTTTGCCCTGGGGGCTACCTCAGCTCTGAGGTCTGAGCTTAATGTGGGATAGGTCTCCTATTAGACTCCCCTTCTTGGGAAATAATTTCATTTCCATACCTTTAATTCAACAGAAATGAGCCCCAGGTGTGCCCTATAGGCATTTTCCTCAGAGCACAGAGAGCTTTGGGCTCTGTTTTTCTATTTTGTCACATGTTCCTGAGATGTTTTCTATTTTAATTTCATCAAGCTCCTTTATTTCTGAATACTAGAAGAGTTAGTCTGAAAAACACAACCACAAATGACACTAGAACCGTTCAATTACTATCAACTTTAGTATTCTTATGATATGAAAAGAATTTGCAAAATTGGATCACATTTCATGTTACACTCATAAAATATACTTCTTACTATAACAGGAAGAACATAACCTTTCCAGTTAACACAGAATTTCAGAATAAATCCTCAAACCTAGGGCAAAAGGTTATTATTGCCTCCACATTCTAATGAGAGAGACTATGGACCACAGACATCTTCCTTCAAGCCATGGTAAGATGTGACAGTTGGTTCTTGATCCTCCAACTCTCCACCTCCACTCTTCTAGGCAAAAGACTGGAGTTGATTAAGAGGGCAGAGCGATAGTGACTTTAAGGACCTAGGGGAGATTTTGAATTTTGCCTATGCTACTAATGGAGTAAGCACAGAAAGTACTCCGCCTTCCAGACTGTTATGGTTTGGGTCTGGATGTCCCCCCAAAGCCTCATGTGGTCAGAGGTAGCTGAATCTGGAATGTGGGATGCTGGGATTAAGGGCTACATAGTGGTTAAGCACTGCCCTCATCTCAGTAGTCTGGATGAGATAAAAGAGGCAGAAAGACACAGTGAAGGTCCCTTGTTGCCATTGCTACCTTGTGTGTGCCATGTTGTTTCTGTTCAGTGAGGCCTGTTTGCCATTCCTGTCTTGGAGCCAGCTGATTATGGACTGAAACCTCCACAAAATCTTAGCTAAATAACCCCCCCCCCCTTAACTTTGGGTGTTGGGCATTTTGTCTCAGCAATGAAACAAAAGTAACTAACACACAGACCAAATGAGAGAGGCTCCTAGAAAAAGTTTCATAGAAACCACAGGTTCTTGCAATAAAGTTCCCCAGCTGGATGACAGTCAGCTATAGAAACCTGGAGTGGACCCCAAAAAGGGGTGGTGAAAGAATTTGAGAGAGGCTTACACGAGTCTCCTGGAGTTTATGGATCAACCTAAATATGAAAACTGAAACCTACCTTTAGGTCAGGACTTCTCAAACTTTAATCTGCAAATGAATCAATTGATGATCATGGTAGAAAGCTGATTCCCATTTTGTTGGTCAGAAGTGAAGCTTGAGGCTCTGCATTTCTAACCAGGTTCTACATGATGTTGCTGATCCCTGAAACACAATTTTGAGTAACTATGGTGGAAGAGTGGCTAGAACAATCTTCCATGGAAGGTGAGGAGAAAGAACAATAGTGTGAGGTAAGGAGCCCATATTCACGGCATTCAACATTGTAGAGATATGTGAAACAACCCTTGGGAAAAATAAATGCCACATAAATAGCAAGAACAGAGATGGCCTGAAAATGGTACCTGTCAGGATTGCCTGCTAGATCCAAAGAAAACAACAAAAGTCCATGAGGTGGCCCTTGGAGAAAGAGCTGAGAGGGTCTTGGAAGAAGTTACATGGCAAGCATAGAGCCCACATCAGGACATGTTTGTGTCCAAAGAAACCAAAATATGATGGACAAAGTAGCCAATACCTAAAACCTGCCATATCAGAGAAGCACAAATAATACCAATTAAGTAAAAGTCTTTTATCCCTTGTCTTTGTGTCTTCCTTCCTTTTCCTCTAATCCTTCCACTTTTCCAATTAGAAAAAGAGAAAAGAGTGTGTGAAACAAGAGACCTCTCCCTCTTTGCCACAGAAGATCTCTGCTTTACAGACCTCAGGGTAGGCCTGAGGGATGGACACTTAAATTGACTTTGGAAATAAAGTTTTCATGTGGATCACCTTGGATGTTTACACTGAATCTTAATCACCAAAAGGAAATTTTATCATCCGGAAGTTACTTGAAAGTGTTGAGCTTCACCCAGGTTGGTATCCAGAGGTCAGGAAATGACATCTGATGATCAAAGTAGAAAAACTGGTGGGAGAAAAAGTAGAGCCATTTCTGACATCCTCCATTACATGCAGGCCATTCCATAGCCAGTTCTGTTTCCATGGATCAATTTATGACACTGCCCTGGTCAATTTACTCATAAATCACAGGTTAGCTACAATTCAAATAAACCCTGAATATCTAAAGAGGAAATTTCTTTCTAAACAATTTGATTCTAAAGAAATCAAATCTTATTAAACCATCAGCATGACCCTGAGTTTTTAGTAAAGTAACAAGTTGCTTTTTATTTTACATTTTTCATTCATTTGTATCAAATTACTTATATCTAGTTATGTAAAAATATGTAGTTTTCATCACATAGTCAGTTAGAAATGTCCAGATGATCTGATGCCTTCATGGAAAGGAAAATCAGCAGTGAATTTTGATAGGAGAAAGTTTCTGAGAAGAGTCAAAAAATAGGAATGTTTTGTTAAAGGAAATATTTTGGCTAATTAAGGATTAAGTTGAGAATTAAAAGAAACGTAAAGGTGCTTTCTCAAAATAAGCCACAAAAGTCAATGTGCTATAAAACCTAGTTCCCTTCATTACAAACACATGGATTAATCAGCTGAAAAATGGACAGATATGAACAGGCAGTTCACAAAAGAAGAAATCCAAAGGCTAATAAACATGTGAAACATTCAATCTTTTTTTTTTGGAACCGAGGATCAAACTCGGGTCCTTGAGCTTACTAGTAACCAAGGAAGTACAAACTTAAAACCACAAAGTGATACCATTTTACAACTCTGATGGGTAAAAATGCAAAAATAGACAATAAAAATGTTTGATAAAATGTGAAAATAAGAGAATTTGCATACAATGCTGTGGGAGAGTGAAACGGGATAATCACTCAGAAATTGCCAAAACTGTAAGGATCAAAGTGTATAACAGATAATGTGAAACAGGAAGAAATGGTCTAAAGGGGAAGGGGAACTGCAAGATGGTTGGGGAAAGGAAAGAAGGGAAAGGAAAAAATATGAGAAAAGGAAAAAATGGAAACAAAGTCTTGTAAATAGGGAGGGGTGGAGGGGTTGAAAGGAGGGCAGGGGAATGGGGAAAATATAAGAACCAAGATACATTATGTACAGGTACAAATTCCCAATGATGAATGTCATCATATTGTATACCTAAAATGTACCAATAAACTTAATGAATTAAAAGAAAGAAATTGGCAAAATCTAGTTAAAGACATATATAGTAATTTCATTTTGGGCATAGTAGGGAACTGTTGAGAATCTAAATTTTTTGCACATGTACTCCATAAAATAATTTTAGAAACTATGCAACCACTTGCAAATTTTTAAATAGATATGTAAATTTTAACCATAAATTTAAATACTTGAAAAAGATGTAACTTTGAATTGCTATAATTACAGTCATCCCTCTGCAATCCTCAGGGGACTAGATGCAAGCACATCCAAGGATACCAAAATCTACAGATGCTTAAGTCCCTTATATAAAATGGCATACTACTTGCAAATATTTTATTCATATCCTTCTATATATTTAAATCATCTAGATTACACAAAATATCTAATACCACACAAATGCTATACAAATAGTTCTTATGGCATGTTGCTTAGGAAACAATGACAAGAAAAAAATGTTTGTACATGTTCACTACTAACATGATTTTGTTCCCAAATATTTTTGATCCAAGTTTGGTTGAATACATGATAAAAAACCCATAGATATGGAGAATTAACTGTACATTATACTGATATTTAAAAAATAAAACTGTGACATCATTCTTTAAAGGTATTCAAAAGTGGTGTGAACTAACCATACCATCTGTTTTTCAAAATATGGACAGATATGAGCAAGCAGTTCACAAAAGAAGAAATCCAAATGGCTAATAAATATGTAAAACATTCAACCTTATTAGTAACCAAGGAAGTGAAAGCATAAAACCACAAGGTGATATCATTTTACAATCTTTTGATGGGTACAAATGCAGAAATAGACAATACAAAATTCTTTAACAATTTTACCTTGTTTCCTTCTTTAAAGCTTCCATTTTCACTATACTTCACCACTGAAGTTTATTTTAGTGTAATATATTTTTATGTTTGAATGTTTTTTATGGACCACTCTATCATATTTCTGTCAGGGAAACATGTATATTAACAATAGTAAAAATTTCCTTGCTTATGACTTTAAAATTATGAGGATTAAAATTTCTTCTCAATTTAAAAATTATTATCACTTTAAGTAGCAATTGAAATATTAATAATTCCTGCTAAAGTAATTTCTACTGAGCAATTATTGATCAAGAGCTAACTGTATTGTGAATTTTATAATTATTAAATAAAAATAGTAAAAATTTTAGCAAAAATGAGCCTCTGAATGAAATTAATAGGCCATCATATTTATTTCACTTAAAATGATTATTGTTTACTGCTAAAATTAAACAAAATTTACTGTAAATTAACAGCAAAACAAAAGAGGACATTAGTACTTCAAACCTTACCAGTAGTATATTATCACTTAAGTGCCATTTTTATAGTAAAATCCAGTACAACCATCTGTTAAGTTACATAAATCTAATAAGTAAATAGTAAGAATGAAAAAGCAAGCCAAGAGGTGATTGATGAGTGACCACAAGCACCAGATATGAGTCCAAGTAAAAAGTGTATATGGATTTATGGTATCCAGTAATCTTTTGGAAAGTAATGGAAATGTTTCTTCTATAAATTTGAATGAGTGTTCAAGAAAATATAAAATATTAAATTATTTCCAACTTGTGTTTATTTTACTAAAAGGTATAATGTTGATCTATGGTAAATAAAAATGGATGTTTTCATCTGCTTCCTCCTTAAAGCTACAAAGAATATGGGTAAACCAAGATAAGACTCCAGTGAAAAACACATCCCCACTCTACTTTCTTGGAATGAGAAATTCAGAATGTGCTTCTCAATAGCCTGGTCTTTCCCAGCATGCTTTTTACAACTTCTGAATATTCTTAGGAGGGTAAAGACCAAGGTGTTGTCATGAATTCATTGTCCCAATGAAATGAAGACACCAGTGCCCTCTATATTTACCTGTTTTGTTCTCACAGGACTCACCCTCAGAATCAATGTGTTGACAATCAGGAGATGAAATAGTGGAGATCGTTAAACAAAAGTGTCTTGCCATCTCACTCTAAAATATATCTGAATTCAGATTATTTATGTGTCACAATTTCATGTCAAAGTACCATTTCTAACTCTACTAGAACTGCCAGATTTAGCAAACCTCTCTCTCTCTCTCTCTCTCTCACACACACACACACACACATGCATGCATGCACGCACGCGTGCACACACACACACACACACCACCCAGTTATACTCAAATTTCCATAAACAAATATTTTTAAAATATAAGCTCTTAGGCACATCAATATTAGGATCTGGAAATGGATTGCTCTAACAACTATCCATACTGGGAAAGTCTTCATATCTGTATGTAGTGAGCATGTGCATTAGCATGTGAGCATGGGCATAGGTAGGTTTGTGCATGCATGTGCACACATTTGACTACATGTTGGGGAGTAATGGTTGGGTGCACACTATCTAATTTGAAGACTGTGCCCTGAGGCAGAACTTCCCAACAGTTCTGCACTAAATGGGCAAATGGGCTGTGAGTATGAAATAAGATCTCAATCTCTTCAGCTCTTAGGAGAGCCTTGGTTTAGAGGTACAGTGATATTTAACCCAAATGCAAAGCTTGGAGAACCCATATAAGCAACTTTCACTAATGTATGCAGGATGGTACATCTATAATCCCTCAAAGCAATATTCTTATAATTTTAGAACACTGGAAATAAACATCTGTGAGAGGAAAAATGGAATTATAATATATTCAATTAATCAAATATTATCATGGAATTAAATGGAATGAATTTGATCTGTCTCTCAATATTGAGAGATATCAAAAACCTAGCATTGAGAAAAATTGCAGAAAAATGCACATAATACAAAAGTATGTATAAAATTTATAGTTATGTAATTTTTAAAGACACAATATTGGATGCTAAAAGCATACAGGCATTGATTAGAACAATGTACAGCATAGGAAAGTGCTTGCTTTGGGGGGAAGAAGTTGAGTGGAGGACAAGAGCAATGGCACCAGATATCAACAAAGCACTGTACATCAGGCTCTCTTCTCAGCTCTTTTCATTTTTATTCACTTAATCTTCTTAACAACCCTCTGAAGTACTGGATAGTTTTATCTCCATTTTGCAGATGAAGCAACCAAAACCCAGAAACAGAGAGCTTAGGGAACTTTCCCAAGGCCAAAGGATACCACAAAAAGGGGTCTTCAACTGTACATTTACATTTGTTTTATTAAAAAGGTTTAAAATAAATATTTAAAAATGATAACAAATGAATGGCTTTCCTTACTTTATTCTTTTCCTTGTTTGGAATATCAACGTTTTAAACTTCTGCTTATTCTTTCAAAAGTTAAAATTCATCTAATACAATTATTCTAAACTCCTAATTATGATTTCTTTTAAAGAAAACGTACATCCTTTCCTCAACTGTCTTCACCAATGGTAGATAAATACAGTGGCACCTTGGTTCATGAATTTAATTTCTTCTATAATTCTGTTGTGTGGGGAAGATGGTCATGTTCATTCAGCCGATGCGGAGTTCGTAAAGGGAAACAAAGTTTTGCCAAACGCTTCTGTTCATGAACAGAAGCATTCCTGAACCAAGGTATTACTGTACATTAATATCTTTTTCTAGACATATTTGCTGTGGTGAAGTGGAAAAAAAACATTTTTACCTCAGTCTTTATTAGATAATTTTGCTGTAAAACTATATGCCCCACTAGAATACATAATTGAAATGTTTTTAAATGGTTTTCATCCAAAAATCTGAGTGTTGAATGGTCTAAATGGATGAATGGGAAATAGGCCAAAATTTTAATTAATTGTTTTAATTAAATAAATCTTTTTGCAAATAAGTTAAAAGCCAATATTTAAAAGCTTGCTGCAATTAAGTTTTCAAGAGCAAAGAGAATAAGCAATATTTCTGAGTCACACACCCAGA